TATTTATATTAGGGATAAGCCGATCGGTATCACAGGAACGCCTTATTCGTGTCTGATCTATGGTTGTCATGTGGTTCACACCGAATTGGACGCGGGGAGTGCTCTCGAGGTGAAATATAACAAAAGCGCTCCCACCGCATGGATGTTTTCTAGTGGTGATTGAATTCAACTGATACTTGTGTTTATAATGCAGGTTGGAGGAGTAGGTTAGTATAAGAGTCCTGCACGGCTAAGCTTCCCTAAATTGAAACAAAAATACGCCGGCTTATGCTACGAGAGACTTCAGCAAAGCAACTGTCGGTCTTCCCGAGTCTCTGGCGAACGCAACACCGACGTAGGTGGGTAGATCTCGTCTCCTCTCCGCTCTCAGGAGATCGAGAGAGAAAGAGAGCGGGATCTCTCGATCCTTCCTCCATGGAAGCGGCGCCTCAGTTCCTCCAGTGCGGCTTCGAGCCCTTCCGCCGCTCGCCCTTGGCGACAGCCGCCCCGCAGTAGAGGACGCTCCGACGCCGATCAATTCGTCTGAGATCTAGGTCTCCACGATCGGGAGTCTTCAATGTGGCGACGGAGCTTACGACCGGTGGTGCCGTTTCTTCTTCTTCTTCTTCTAATTCTGCCTCTTCTCCTCGGTCCGCCTCGTTTGGTTCCGTCAATGGTGCCGTCTCCAACGTAAGATGTCGGTTAGGGATTTTGGATTCGGGGAGTTTGGTTTTTTTTTGAATTTGTTGATTGAGGATAGGTTGTGCTGGTTTCCTGGAAAATTGGAAGAGGTTTGGCAACGTGTCGTAGGAGATAAAGATGGTGAGAAAGCAGATGGAGGAGGACGAGCAGCTGGCCACGCTGATGAGAGGACTTCGAGGTCAAAACCTCACCGACGTTCAGTTTCAGATGAGAACATCCGGCTTCGTCTTGTCGAGGTACGTTTTTTTTTGCAATTGACGCGTGGAGCAATGCCATAATTCGCGCGATCTTTTGAATACTTTAATAGATTGGTAACACCTGATTGATGCCCAAGCGAACTAATGCTAGATCCATCAAAACCTTGAAGCATGACCAATCTGATATTTTAGGTGATATCAGTGATCGGACATTTGGTGCATCAAGAATTCTTTATATGACTGAATTTTCATTATAAATCGTGAGTCTTCAGATCGGATTAGTTGCTGCATTTTAACAATATTTTAAGTATCCTCCAGAGTTGTTTACACGAAAAGGTAAAATTCACATCGCGGACATGACTTTTAAGTTGTCCATTGTCTCTGTTCAGGTCAAATCGTGTGGATACAATCTTTTGACTAGGTAGTGGAGTTGAAGTCACTTGGTAGGAAGATCAAGATCTTTTGTTTGAAAATGCAGTTTTACTTCTTGATGGTTTCTGATACTTGTTTAGGTACCAGCTGTGAACAGCAATGAAGCATTGCCACTTGTGTATGATCCTGACATAATTGCATCCTACTGGGGAAAGCGCCCTAGAGCTGTTTCCACACGGATTATACAGCTGCTGTCTGTAGCAGGTGGCTTTCTGTCTCATTTAGCTTGGGACTTGATTAACAAGAAGATCGCAGAGGTAAAAATATAGCCACATATAATCATCTCTCCACTGTTCTCGCTGCATCTTGTCATTATTTACCAAACAGGAGGCATCATCTTCTAGCTCTGCTTATTGTTCTTCTGTCATATTTGACATTTCTAATGTAGTTCTTTTCTTAAATTTTGCACTATATAGCTTTTGCAGCACTTTAGATTTTTGTTTATGTCGAATCCACTGGACATTGTCCACTATGTTCTTAACAATACATAATTGCATATATCTTATGATCCCCCCATTTAATCCTATATCAGAAGTGGGATGAGGGTTACGATCCATATAGGGTTAGATGGGTCGAAAGTTGCTCACTTGAGCTTAAGTATTTTGTGGGCAGCTCAGCCCTCATCAAGTTGATGAGTCAATTAACAAATGATATCTGGGCTGACCTATTATTATGCATGATGAGAGGTACGTGTATGAAAGGGTCATCCATGGATGGTGTTTGATATAAATTCAGATTATATTAACATAAAGGTGATTTGTGATGGGACACAAATATGAAAGGGCCACTCATGGACGTAGTGTTTGCTACGAATTCATATCCTATTAACTTACAGGTGATTTACAGGTGGTAACTTGAAACTCCTTGTTTGTGTCTATCACAGCCTATTTATTGTGAAGTGTTACTCTTGCAATACAGCTATAGCTGTTGCGGCTTTGTCATGAAGATGTTAAGTTGAGTGTGTCGAACATAAAACATATGATCAAAACATCAAGCACATACCTAACACAATTAAGCATCGATTTGTCCTTGGTACTTCTTCAAAACCAATTTTCTGCTTCATTCCTTAGCATGATAAGCTCAATACAATTAACCCTCATTGATCATGCATCTGATTCTCGAATATTCTAATTTGACTCTCTCTCTCTCTCTCTCTCTCTCTCTCTCTCTCTTTATATATATTTATATATATATGTGTGTGTGTGTGTGTACTTCATGGTTTCTCAGCTACTTTTAGTATTCTTTTGGTTTAATTGAGCTGCATTTCCCTATATATGTGATGTATGTTGATTTTATATCTGCAATTCCTCACATTAGGTTTCGTGTGTTCTTCTCTAGAATGAGGTTGCCTGGGCTATTGAATTAAGGGAAATAGTAACGTCATTGGGTCCAGCTTACATATAACTTGGCCAAGCTTTGAGTATTTGACCAGACATATTATCACCTGCTGCAATGACTGAACTGCAGAAGCTAATGTGATAAGGTAATATGGTATGTTCGAAGTGTTTTTCATGGTTAATGTGAACAAAATAACACATGTTTTTTTGGGTGAGATATCTGATTCTTCTTTAGTTGCAAAAAGTTGAGATTCTACACCATGAGACAAGTAGGAGAGTCACAATTTTGTGATTTTCTTATGAAAAATTAACTATAGTATTTTTAGTTCAATGAATTACATTATACCAGGTTTTCTTTTAGTATCCTAATATATGACATGCTGTTTTCTCCATTGCTTTCCTATCGTTTTTCTGGAAGTCATTACCATTATTTTGTGGGCATTCCTTAATCTTTCTGGTTAATAAAGATGACTTAACTATTATATGCTTTTACCTTTGCTAAATTTGAAGTTTCGTGTTTGGTACTTGAAGGTTCCTTCATTTCCAGATGATGTTGTGATGGCCCTTATTGAAGAAGAACTTGGGCAGCCTTGGTGTAAAATCTACTCTGAACTGACACCATCCCCAATTGCTGCTGGTAATCTCATCTACACATTACGGCAATGAGCTTAGAATATGTTTTTGCTGTACTACTTCGTGTGTTTTGTTGAAAATGTAACTTGGAGCAATACTACTATATGACTTTTTGTCGCCCCCTTTGTTTTCAGCATTATTTTTGATATTCATAAGGTCCTAAGCTATCGAGAGGAAACTTTATATATGCAGCATCTCTGGGACAAGTTTACAAGGGTTGCCTAAAAGAAACTGGCGAGTTGGTGGCCGTCAAAGTACAGCGGCCTTTTGTTCTGGAGACTGTCACCATAGATCTCTTCATTATTCGTAAACTGGGACTGTTTTTGCGAAGATTTCCTCAGGCAATTGATCAGCTACTTGGTTTGCTGCTTCTGAAAGGCTGAAACTATTGCGTAATTTGTATCTTGTTCTGACCTATCTGATCTCCATTGATATTGTTGGTTTGGAGGATGAATGGGCTGCCCGCATTTTTGAAGAACTTGATTATGTAAATGAAGGAGAAAATGGAACTCGCTTTGCTGAAATGATGAGAGAAGACCTTCCTCAGGTACATTTCTATAAAAACTAAGCAATTATTACTCTGTTCAGTAAAGGATCTTTTTCCTTGTTAAACAAAGCAAGTTTTTGTCGAACAAAAAACTGTAGTTGTGTATACATTGGTTCCCCAGGATAAAAGGAAATTTGTTAATTTGGCTCCAAATATAGGAATCTTGACATTTTATTTCCAACTAGTGGTTCTAAATCATTATAATATAATCAGTAACAGAATAATCACTAATCTACCTACATTTCAATGGTAAATTTCATTTCTCCAGCCATTGGATTGTGTTTTTCAGTAGTAGGACTTGCATGCCAGATTCATCCACAGAAACATTATGATCCAGAAATTCTATGACCTATGCCTCTGTTGCCGCAAGAATCACTTTTTCTAGCATTTTATTTCATATTCTTTTGTTAGTGAAAACATTCTCATGCAAAATAAGGATGATCTAGATATTTCTTGTTTCTCACAAGTGAAACCTTTCTCAAAGAAATTTTTTTGATAGTTGATCCAAAGAAACTATGGTAATTGTCTGACATACCAAAATACTTATATCTCAATTTTCTTCTTAAAGATGTGGTGAAAATGTAGTGGTTTCCCATTCCATGCTAAACTGATATGTAAGACGATGTTCTTGTTT